CCAAGTTCTCAATAGAGCTGCCCGTAGGTTATCAACTAGAAGATCCTCGCGAGCTGCGCCTCTCTCCTCTTCCTATTTTGACTGAATACAAGGTCTGGGAATAATCCAGAATCTGTTTTCTACCCAGTTGAGGGGGTGAACCTCCGGTGGTGTATCTGATGCTAGTCTCCTTAAGTGTTCTAAGGCCAAAGGTTGTCAGGGGTTGTCAATTCCTAAAATAAGGTCAATCATCCATTTGAATGGATAGGGCTTAACATTGCAGGGTAGAATTCAAAATTCTCAATCCTCCCCTCTGTTTTGGTTGGATGAGGGTGGACCATGCCACTCTAGGAATGACGCTTTCTTGTTCGACGTTCGTGATTCTCTCTCCAAAGGAAGACCGTCATTAATTTCCGAAGGTGTTTGACACATGACTTTCCACACCATTGATTTGTACCATATTGAGGCTAAAACCACATTATCGATTACTATTATTTACTAAAGATCTGCCAAAAAGTGAGGTGTGTTGATTTGTCCATTGATTCATTTTTTCTAACGATGGTCTAGAAATCAATTCATCATTGGAAGTAGGCTTGTCGGAGGTCGAAAGAGATACTCCCAGTACTCTCAATGGGGCTTCGAGAGGCAACCATTGAACCCTGGGGGATTCAGGAGGATGATCCCCATTTGAGTGAATCCACCAACCTTAAGTTTTACTCCCTCAATTGATTACCATATCTGAGACTGCAATAAATTTATCAAGAAGATTTTTAATTTCTTCCATGTTCGCTGCTGAGGCTTCCATCATAATAGTTAAGTCATCGACTCATCAGCAAACAAGGAGGCTATCGGTATTGCTTCCTCGGGTATTCATGAGATCCTTAATCGTCTGATGTTATGGTTAGCTTTAAGATTAGCCCCCAGAACCTCCATTACAATAATGAAAAGGAAGGGGGTCAATGGGTCTCCTTGTCTTACCGACCTTTGAATCCGAATTTTCGGGGACAGCAATCCGTTAACAATAATTCGTGTAGTGACATTTGTATGAAGGATTTTAACCCATCTACGCATATTACGTCCAAAATTCAACTTTTGTAGGCATACGTCTAAAAAAACTTCAATCCACATGGTTATAAGCTTTCTCAAAATCTATAAAGACCACAATTGCATTTTTCTTAGATTGTCTTGCAACTTTGACCGTTTCATTGATTAGGAGGATGTGATCTTGTATATGACGACCTTTAATGAACCCTGTTTGGGAGGGGTGAATGATATCAGGCATGAGGGGGATCATCCGGTTAACCAAAGCTTTTGCTAACAGTTTGTAGACAACAGTTAATAAGGTTATTGGTATGTAATTTCTAATGTTTGTCTTATCCCCCTTTTCATATAGTAAGGTAAGTATGCCCTGACTTACTATCTCTCTCATTTCTCCTTAGTCTCAAACCTCCTGAAAATATTGTAGTAAGTCGTTTGAAAGAACAAGCCACATTGTTTCCCAAAATTCTTTTGGAAGCCCGTCCACGCCCGGGGTCTTGTCCTCTTCCATTTGTATTAGAGACGTCCAAATTTCTTCCTTTGTTATTGGTTTTTCTAGGAGATCACATTGTTTTTTAGTAATAGATTGAAAAAGTGGTTCCAAAAAGGAACGAATGGCTAGATCATCTTCCTGTGACTGGGTAGGATCTTTTGATAACTGGAACAATTTTTTGAAGAAACCATATGCCACCCTTAAACTTGTTGCTGATGAAGTAGACACCCCGGGCTCTCGAGTGGACTCATGATCAAACAGACTTTCTATAGAGGATCGTCTGACCCGGGACCGGGCCATAGCAAAGAAGGATGTATCCATCTGTCCTTCCGAGGAAAATTTTGACAGTTTGCCTCTAATTAATTATCCTTGTCAACGATGTTGCGCAAATGACAAAAGTTGGTTCCTGAGTTATTGGATGCTGTTAGTTTGGGAGGATTCATCTAGCTGATCTTGAGATTCATAATTTAGAATTTGTTCTTGAATATGCATTTCTTTTAGATATTTTTTCTTTGCTTGTAATTTTGAGTATTCATTACATTTTTTTGCTAGAAAAAACAGACCATTGTTGAACAAAGAGATGTATGAGTCTTGTCTTTTTCTCGTCGTATGCCAATATTCCCATACATCTGTTAAATACCTCCTAAACTGGTTATGTGATAATAGAGATGTGTTCAATTTATAGAACCCTCTCCCTTGATCTGTTTTTTTGCCAAAGGATAGGAGGACTGCACACATTTTATGATCGGCCCCGGTCCATGGGCTTTGTGGGAAAATTGCAGCCCCTATGATTGTACTATCTAGATCTTCCAACATAAGAATCAAATCAACTCTTGATCGAGATTGAAGACGATTTCCTTAATTACGTATGTATGTAAATAACCTTTGTCGGGGAATTTTAGTCCCGTCCAAGGAACTCCGGCACATGAGATCTCAGTTCCGACTTGGGACTTCAACCCCCTTTCCAAAAATCCTTGGCACGCCCACTAATTCACACTTCCTTGCTCACTTTCACGCCGATCATGAAGTCGGACAGGGCGTGAGGTTGGGCGTCATAATGCAGTCGGTGTACATGCAGCCGCGTCAAAGAAAAATGACTGGGAAATGTACTGCTGGTTTAGGGCCTCGGCCGCCTTGCCACACCAGTGTCGAAAAGTGCATTTTCGACATTTTCTCCTCGCTACACAGCATGTCGAAATCCGAGATGCAAAAAAAATTGAGGAGCTGTCAGGGAAAGGGTTTCAACACCTCCTCTCGAGAAGGGCTCGTTCCCCAGCCTGCAACTTGGACATTTTCAACAGTCCTCGGATGGGATGTCGAATTTTTGCCCGAATGTCGAAAAAGAGAACACACCAACGCTTGTCCTATCTTCACCCCAGTTTGTCTCTTTTGTGCATACGACTCGTGAGTTCTTCACTTCGACATGCTGTGTGGCGAAGAGGGTTTTTCTTTCGAAAGAGGGAATGTCGAAAATTTCCTGACATATGTCGAATTTCGTGATGTTTCGACATTGGTGTGGCAAGGCCCTTAATGGAAACCTCACCTTTATCCCCAAATAAGAAAGAAAAGATACAAGAACTTAGCCATTTGGTTACGTCTGGAGAAAAATCTGTACCTTGATTGTCATCGTAAGCTGTCAATTCAAGCTGTCAAAGTTGATGTTGCACGTCAGTTGGGGGTGCTCATATCACCTCTTTTCTTTTCTTTTTTCTCTTTTTTTTTTCTTTTTTTTTTCTTTTTTTTTGTGGGGTGGGTGGGGGGGGGGTGCTCATATCACCTCCACTTGTTTTTTTTTCCCTTCTTTTTCCCCAAGAACCAAACTTTGTTTTAGGGGCCCAGTGCCCAAGACTAAACACATGCAAACGAAGTCCTTGCAGGGGAGAGTTCGGCCTCAATCCCCTACCAAGGAGCCGAGTCTATTCCTGTACAACAAATCTTCCGGCAATTACAGACAAGAAAGTACAGAGAGGAAAAGCTATCAGCATCTATATTTTTCAAAACCCTCAAGTTCAAGGGGTGCTATCCATTGTGGTAGGAGCACACCCGAATGTCATCCTGTGGTGAGGGTGGCTTCTTGCTATTGGTGGGGAGCTGCAACTGCTGGAAAACGTTTCCAGCATCCCTCACAATAGTAATTAACAAAGATGTACATCATGATGTCCCAAGCTAGCTCCTGATAGTGACCTCACTCTATCCCTGTGCGGCAGCAGAACTGTCCCCCGGTCTTGAACTTTCTGTGCTGTCTTTTGACTGTGTACTCCAAAGGTTGCCAGACCTCTTCAGGCTCTATCTAACCCCCCCTGTTCAGCAGCTCTATCGTATCTGACCAATCCCTCAGTGAGATGTGCCGTATTGGCATCCTTGAGCCAAGTCTCAGTCCTCTTCCTGCTTCTCTAGTCACCTTTTCCCCAAGTGTGGCCTCTTTCTACTTTAGAAGTTCCCCTGTACAACACTAATGCGGAGTGCAAGCCAGGCTTAGAGATGTGAAAGTCTTCTGCTGGTCTTCGCATCCAGTTCTCCTGTCCCTTTGTCCATCTTTCCACACAGGTCTTTCCCTTTCTTCCCAACCACAGCAGATCCCAGGCCCCACCCAGTGTCTCTTGAAGTTTTCTATGTGTTTATTTAAATTATTTTTACCTCTGGGATTGTTTTTTTTTTTTTTTTTTTTTCTCCCTTTCTTTCTTTCTTTAAAAAGTCCAGGGTGTTGTAGAGGCCAGTTGCTAGGCTCGCATTCATCGCCGGAAGCGGTCAGCTATAGTTGCCCTGAAGAGACGAGGCTACCTCCCATCCCATCCTCGCGTCAATACTCCTAGCCCACCCCCTATTCCTACTATCCTACCTCAGTGTGACCAGCACTCAGGACCGTTACCCTACCAGTATCGAAGGGAACTCGCTCAAAAAAAAAACATACACATCTATGTATGTATTATACACAATAAATTAAATGTATATACGTATGTACACGAGTGCGGCAGTACAACACAACAAGCGACGGGGGCATCGTTTGTGGATGCACGGACAGGACGACTGACGCAGGAGCAGAGGCAGCATCAGGACCTGTCCCTGATGGCATTGGCGATCTCCAGCAATGCAGTGCACATCAACCTGTTAGCCTCGTCGGACGCCTCGTAGTGCCGCCGCTGGGCATCAACCTCACGCTCGAGAATGTCGCACGTGGCACTGCCGCTCGAGAATGGAACATTGTCGCTTGCTGGCCCCCTCGACGGTGTCAGCCATCAATGCGCCGTGCTTGTCCATGACTTCAGCAATGGCCTCGAATGTCTGTTGACGCATGTTCTTCCTCTTGCAGTTCCCTTCCGTGCTGTCTGCATTGAAGCCGGACTCCCGCGCCGACCCTCTGTCGTCGTCGTTCCCATCATCCCCATCACCCCCGGCGGCGGATTCTCCAGCAACGGATGGGGAACGTGGCATCTGCAGTCCTCCACGGTGCTTGTGTCGACGACGTTGTCCGGGTAGATGGTCTTGTTGCCCTTCGACATGGTGTTTATCTCATCGTACACACGCTCCTTCATTCTGAAATTCTGAAGTTGAAGCCTTCTTCCGTTCTCAAAGCAGGTGTGAGGTTTAGGAAGTTCTTCCCCCCGGAGGCGTTCTCATACCGTTGCACTTTCTTGTACTGTTGGAAGAGATTGTCCCACTTCTTGCCTATGTCGTCAGTCGTCCTATCCACCCCCACCTCCAGCAAACGCTTTTGAAGGTCTTGCAGCTTCCATTCTCTGTTGTGCATTCGTCCGTAGTTGTGCGGCATGACCTCGAAATGAGCTTGTTGATCCCTCTTCGCCCAGGCAAGCTTCAGCATCTCCTCAACACTCCATGACGGATGTTTCCCAGCCTTCTCACCTGACGAACCGTTCGAGCTGCGACCACCACGGGAAACATCCTTCCCTTGACGCACGCCTCCACCCCTTCCTCTGCCACGCACAGGTAGGGGTCAAATCTCCATGTCGTTCGCATCTTCCACTTCGTCTTCGCAAATCACATTTGTAAATTCGTAATTGCTCGCCCGTTGGGAGTCTTCTGCATTCGGTTTTCCACTCGCCACACGCATCCTGGACACCCCATTCGTTCTTTTCTCCACGGCCGTTTGACGCATCTGTCGCCGACATGAGTCCCACGCCTACCTGCCAACTTTGTCCGATCCGGCAACGTTTGTGTTCGCCACCGGTGCGCCCATCGTCTGGCGCGGTGCACTCAAAGGCGATGCCAAAGGGGGGGGCAACGACGTGCGAAGCATGTCACTGGATGATCCCGCACCCCAAGAAAACGGAGGCGGCGGACGACAACCATCAGGGCTCACACCTTGCGGAGAGGACCTTCCACCATGCACACTCAATCTGCCGACAGTCGCACCAGGCACTGGGTTGAACGTGCGAGTGTGTGTAGCTGTTGGACCACTCCCGCTTGACAAACCAAAATCCAAGTCCACAATCTCCGTATCGCCTCCACCGACATCGTCCTCTAGCAGAGCGGAGAACGAATGACAACTTGTCATGGCCTCCCGTTGTCTACAATGACTCCCCATCCATTCCTGCGTCGATCCGCTCCCCAGAGGCAGAGTGCGGGACATATCATCCACCCATTGCTCTTCGGCATCCGGCGGTAATGGCTGCTCGTGAGGCGGGAGATGACTGTACAATGTTGGGTCATATGCGCCCGCAAGACGCGCCCCAGCCATCGCTCCTGAAGCAGAGTACTCGATGGCGTGTGCCGGTTGTCTGTTGGATGCTTCACGCCTGTCCATCGTTGTCTTCCTCATATTTGGACTTTGTCGTTTTCGTCTGCCGCGAGGACCCCGCACAACGACGCGCACGTGGAACAACACGACAACGAGCAGGAGAAGAGTGGGCAGCAGCAGCAGCGGGAACCGTTGGAGGACGTCTTCCATAAATCGCAGCGTGTGACACATATACCAAACGAAGATTGCATCCCCGCGGGCGACAATAGCCGACAAAACAAGCTCTGCAATCGTTCGGCAGTGCTTCAACGCCGCTTGTAAAAAATTCGAAAAAATCGACCGTTGGACGTGAAGGCCGTCGACGCGAGCACGCAAAACCCCGCTCCACAGAGCGCCTCGCAGCTGAAGATCCGCCCCCACGCATTTTCGCACCAACGGTAACGGTCTAAAGGCCGTTGGCGGCCCGTCGGGTACTGGAGGCTGGTGATGTCCGCCCAATGGACCACAGACGACCTGTGCACCAACATCGACTCCGAATTCTCTTGTGGTCGTGAGCTCCAGAACGCTCCGTCTATCGCGGATCCTTTATCCCAAGGGACCTCACGAGGACCCCTTGGATCCAAGGACGTTTTGCTGGGGATTCCGAGGAACCCAAGGAAATCTCTTGGGAGCGTTTTCACATTCGCTCAAGGGATTTGGCGATTTAGGACGCGGTGTCTTGACGTCGATTTCTGATTTTGTGGTTTTCCAAGGAGGGTCTAACGAGGCCCTAAGTTGGTGGAGAAGAACCACGAGGAAGTTTGATGTCCTACTGAGCTACAACATCGATTGATCTGTACGCATGCTTTACTGAGCCCAAGGGAGGGACAAAACTAATGTGCAATCACCAGAACAACCCCATGAACCAAGAACATCAGGCAAACCTTTCATAGCCTAGACCCAACATACAGCAACCATGGACTAAACCCCTAGCGTGGTACAGGCAGTGTCTGTAATCCTTACCGTGGACCAATCCAAGGGGAGGGTGTGGACCAACCCAAGGGGAGGGTGTGAACAGCCACGCGTTGCTCAGCGCCCGCTGGTGTACATGTGCGAGGCTGGAGGGTTTCAAACCGACAACCTCAGACCACAGTGCACATTTACAACTGGTGCTGTACCCACTGAGCTAATCGCTGTTCATGAAAACGAGTCCTATGGGCCCTGTGGGTAAGAAGACACATCTGAGATAGAAGAGAATTCACAGACATAATTCAGCAGGTCATGCGGACGGTAACAGACCGACCTACAAGCCAGATGGATGGTAGTGAAAGCGAAACTGGACAGGTATAACCAGTACGGAGACATCCACAAAGAAATTCGGGAGAGGAGGGTGGATTGCAGAGATCAAGTGGGAGGGGGGACAGAATCCAGAGCAGCGGCCAAATAGAAGGAACTATACACTGAATTCCACAATAATTGGACGAAGCTTGGAACGACACCACCCCCCCCTCCACATCTCCAACAGACGTCCCAGACCTGTTTCCCTGGCCAGTGAACTCACTGATAGAGCTGCAACGGTATGCGAGGGACTAAGAGAATTACAGCTCGGAGCATACAGCCAGGAACAGTGGGACTACCTCCAGCAACAAGGCTATCGTGATGCTGCAGGCCGGGACACAAGGAAGGAGATGGACTCCTTTGGCACGAGTGGGCCCCACCAGGTTTGGTCGACTGGTATCATTGAAAAGGCCTGCTTGTAATAATGCTGTCATCAGGCGGTCGACAAGATGGGCAACGAGGCAGGCCTGCTCGGGATGTCGAGACTCTTTCCACTCTATATCTTGGTTCCACCACCGAGCCACTCACTGTTCGTTAATCCCCAGGGAAATCAGGGCAATTAATGCTGCAGTGACAAAAACTCGTTTTCCGAATCTGCTTCTCATTGGCAATCATAGTCAGTTGATGCCCTGAGATCTGAGGGCAATCAAAGCTGCAGTGACATCATCACCTTACCTCTTTGCTCGCATTTTCCTTGTCTGGTTCTCATTGGAAATCACTGTCCGTAAATCTCCTGAGGTCTCCACTCTCAGGGCAATCAATTCTGCAGTGAGTGGAAGGGTTGAGTTCCTGGATGGTGTTCTATAGAGGAGATGTCCGGGGGAGGAAGGTGATAGCGCCATGATAGTAAAAGACATAAATTTTTTTTATTTTTTTTTTTGGCAGGATCAAGTAGGGAGGGTGGTGGTAGAAGCATCCCCCCCTACTAGGTCCTACTTAGTCACTCCATCTAGAAAGGAAAAGAAAAAACGGGGAGCTGCACCTGTTGGAAAACCGGTCCAGCGTCCCTTAATTTTTCCATTGTGAAATTTGTGATTATATAATTTTCCCAACGCTGCAGTGACACCATCTTAGGGCCTTTCTTTTTTTTTTTTTTTTTTTTTTTGTAAACACTGGCAGCCAAATGCCGTATGATCCAGGCACTCCGGCCTGGTTCATATGACTGCTGCTTTTGAATTATGAAAGCCAGAAAACAGGTCCGGCGTCCCTCACATCATAGAAAAGGCTCAACAAAACGAAAATAAGTACACAATGCCAGTAAAAATCATCCATCCTCTGTTAAACACCAGACCCTGCATATCCGCCCTGCCTTCCCCGCAGCAGGGGTCTGGGTCGCCGGCCCCCAACCGCAGACTCAGACCCCGCAAAGACCCACCCACCTCCTCGTGATTTAGAGCGGATCGCACCACCACCGACATTCACCTACCAAAACCACCAACTCCCACCATGATGGCAATTTCGCTAACCTGCGGAAATACCATGGCAACCGCGGACCCGGACCCGGACATGTCTGCACCGAGGCCCAGACATTTGTCTGGACTGGTCCAGACGTCCGGTAATCCGGACAGGCACCGGACAACCGGACCGGACCGGACCCGGACCGTCCGGACCGGTACACCAGACAAAAAAATGTCGGGACCGAAAAAAAAAAAAAGAAAAAAAAAAAAAAAGAAAAAAACATTAGTAGTAAACAGTACTAAACACAGCTTACTGTCTTTCACTATTCAAAACTTGACAGCTTCATACTGTCACAGAGTCAGAGACATTCACAAAGGCTCACACAACACTAGAAAGTTGAAAGCAGTTCTCAACAGCCCAACGAAGGGATCTCAGATCTGACCAAAATCATCTCTCTCTCTCTCTCTCTCTCTCTCTCTCTCTCTCTCTCTCTCTCTCTCTCTCTCTCTCTCTCTCTAGCTTGATGTTCTGTGGCGCTTTGCAGCCAGCGCTTCATTTTCGGAATCGGACTCAGCAGAGGGAGCTGTTGGAGGTGTCTGGCGGCGTCCGGTAGGCCCTGAAACAACCAAAAAATACCGGCGCCATTTTTCGGGNTCTCTCTCTCTCTCTCTCTCTCTCTCTCTCTCTCTAGCTTGATGTTCTGTGGCGCTTTGCAGCCAGCGCTTCATTTTTGGAATCAGACTCATCCTTATCCTATGAACTACCAGCGTAGAACAACAGCAGAGGGAGCTGTTGGAATCGTCTGGCGGCGTCCGGTAGGCCCTGAAACGGCCAAAAAATACCGGGGGCATTTTTTGGGGGTGGCCTAGGACCCGAAAAACGCCCTAGGCCCCCCCAAAAAAATTTTCAAAATTTTCAAAATTGGGCCCAATCCAGACCTACCGGACCAGACACCGGACCCATACCCAGACAACCGGACCGTCTGGATTCCGGTCCAGACGTCCGGCCGGTTGCCATGGGAAATACCCTACCACCCGCGCGGCAGGGGCCAAAGATCCCGCAGAACCCACCCACCTCCTCGCGATTTAGGGTACACCACTCCTCTCATCTGTAATTCGCCTCGCAATGGGGTCTTCACCACCCTCCATGATGAAGCACCCGCAGAGCGACACTCCCACTAAAAAAAACAGGATGTCAGAAGAAAATCCCAACCACATATAAAGAGACAAAACCAATCCAACAACTCCACCTCTTTGGGAAAACCCTACCTCCCGCGCGGCAAGGGTCAAAAGACCCTGCAAACCCACCCAGCTCCTCGCGATTTAGGGCTAACCACTCCCTCAGTCTGTGCCAACCTCCTTAGAGACCCCACCGCCCACCATGACAAGGTCTGTGCGGGGCAGCACTCCCAAATCGTCTTGAGACGAAAACGACAATCTGCTATAATCCCTACATCAGAGTAAACAGAAGTCCACGAAAGGGATCAAAATTCCTTCATACTACCAACAGAAAGAACTTAAAAATTGAAAAACATTCGCCTAACTCGGCTAGTCAAACACACAGATCCCACCTAATATGGTAATCAACGGGCCGAAATTGCAATTCCTACAACAGAAAAGTAATAAAATCACAGGAATCTTTTTTTTTTTTTTTTTTTTTCGAAAACCCCTCTCAGTGTTAGTGATGCTGGTAGGAGCAGACACCACTAGCACCTGGGGGGCTCCATCTATTGGTGGGGAGCATCACCTGCTGGAAAACGGGTCCAGCGTCCCATATTCACAATGAATGAAATCATACCAAGAAGCATCTGTGGAGAGTTCCTGCCAGCATTGATTACCCTGGCATCCAGGGGATTAACTGAGCAGGAGATTAGACAGAGGGGGGGAGGATCTCTTCACCCGAAAACAGGCGCCAGATGCTAACTGTTACACACTGATTCTTCCCTCTCCTGTGAGCCTGAGTGTTGACCTGAGCAGAATATCAGAAATGCCAGACGAAAGGAACCTCTTCACCCTACTTGGGTGCCAGATAGACCTACCCAAGCTCGTATTCATGTATGGATGGTCGGGCCATATTGGTGGGAGCGTCCCCTATACAAATTGCAATCAAGGGAGTTCAGGGTATGAAAATGTGGGGGTTGAGCAGGTTATTGGGAGGGGGAGTGGACCTCTTCACCCTGAAACGGGTGCCTGATACCTACTCCAGCGAACAAGCTAGTCCCTTCCCCTCTTTACCTGCTGGAAAACTGGTCCAGCGACCCATATACAGTTGATAGTCCCGCCCCTGGTGCCCTGCGGGGTCCATTCCATACCACTTCATATCCATTAGACAGTTAGATGGGCCCTGCCGTGTCCATTCCCTGGTGTCCTGCAGGGTCCATAGACAGTTAGATGGGCCCTGCCGGGTCCATTCCATACCATTTCATATCCACTAGACAGTTGGACGGGGGGGGGAAGAAGTCTGGGAATTGTTCCGGGGGTTTCAATGGGGTCGCTGTGTCCACTTTAGTTCAATCATGGAACTGCAGATGGTAGTCCCTTATGATCTCCCCCCCTGGCTGGTCCTCCCCCTACGCTGTGTGTTCTCCCTGCCATTCCACCATTCCTAATCTCCCACCGTTTGCATCCCCAAGCCAACTTGAGCTGA